TATGTATGTATGTATGTATGTATGTATGCATGCATGCATGCATGCATGCATGCATGCATGCATGCATGCATGCATGTATGTATGTATGTAATGGATAATAATCATGTACTCTCTCCGCCCATGAATTATCTTTTAACTTTCATTTTTTGTCAGTTCCAAAATGATAGTTTGTAAATTAAGAGGTGCTTGTATTTTATCCTTTATCATGCACTCTCTTCATCCATAATCAAAATTTCTCTCTCCTCTGCACAACTCTCTACCATACAATTTCCACTTTCATAGTGCACATGAAAAACCCCACTTGAAAGATAATTCAGTGACAGAAGTAGTAACAAATACTCTCTCCGTTCTTTTTTAAATGCAACACATTCCTCTTTTGGCAGTTTCATAACAAATGCAACATTACTTATTTAGGTAAAAAGTGATATCCACAAATTACTTTAATATCCTCACTCAAACTCTCGAAGTTCTTTTGTTTTTCTTTTTAATTAATTCCCACCTACCAATTTTGTTTTACTTTAATGATTCAACTACCTACACCCTACTTTAATATCCTCTCTCTCCTTATCTTGAAGAGACCCTCCCTTATCTTCTCCGTATATTCAACCATCCTTATCTATTGCTTTCTTTATCATCTTCTACCCACTTGCTCCCTATTTTTCTATTTCTTCACTGTTAAAATGGAGGCACCACAAATAGCCGTCGATGATATCAAACTATTCGCTCCTACTACTCCCCCTCGATATTATGCGAGTGAAGACGGCGGTCCTACTACTCCCCCTCGACATTCTGCGAGTGAAGAGAATGAGAAAGAGAACAATCAAGATTAACACAAATTAGAAAATAGAGCTTGCACTTAAATCTGCAAAAAAGGTGGATATGGTTTACCATCCCATTTTCGGTGAGATGAGCAGTTACCAAATGACATTCTTCAAGATCTTGTGGCCAAACCAGTTTCCTGAGGAATCTAAAAACGGTATTTTTATGTTTAGGTTTAATTACAAAAAATATAGTTGACTAAAATTTGTTGATTTGTGGATTTGGTTACATTCTGTTCATTTGGTTTCTGAATATGTTGATTTGTTGATTTTGGTCTGTGTTAAATTTTGCATGACTTTATACGAAGAATTTTTGTTGATTTGAAATTAAATTTTTGATAGTTAAAATCAGCTACTTTTTATTTTTTGAATGGTGGTAGATTGACATTATTAGTGCCTATAGATTTATTGACAAGGTGTGATTTTTGTTGACTAAAGTATTAGCATTTCTGAATATCCTTTAATTTGCAAACATACAATTTAGTGCATTTAGATTGAGTCATTTGGAGCAAAAGAAAGTTTGAAAGTAGTTGCACTACAATAAGTTTACAACCCCTTGAGAGTAGCCTAGTAAACTGTGGCAACATTTACAAAATTTGGCCAGTAAACTTGGGCGAAGTTTACATCCGTGTGAAAGCAAAAAGATTTCAAACTTTTACCTTAACCAAAAATATAATACTGGCACCACCAAAAGTAAGGACCTTCTTTCCTGATGCACTAATTTAGCATTGTTGTATTCACCAAAAGTTGGCCCTCCATCAAGAAATTGTTTGTTTCTTCAATGAGTTCTTCTGGAATTTCAACTTGTGTTGGTAGAACACCCAAACTGTCCAACTTTCTTTTAGCATTGTGGGGGTTCTTATAGTTGTTACCTCCCATTACCTTCAATATTTCCAACATTATGTATTGAAGGTGTACCCATGTGTAGTTTAACAGCCTTGATTCAAAAGAGTAAAATGCATCCCGGACAGCACCAACTAGTTCACCAACCGTCTTAGGAAAAGCCTTATATTGAATAGATTGTATAGCTCTAAAAAAACCTAGATCGAGTACATTCAAATATGGACTTTGGGCAGGTTGGCGTGCTAGTCTTACATTGAAACCAAATAAAGTGGCAGCCTCCATGAATTGCACATCATTAACACCAATGTGAGGCCTAGCGTTATCCTGTTGAATCCAAATATCCTTGCATGCATTAGATGGCCAATGTTCCCTCATAGCCGACAAGATTGAATTTATTAACTTCGATCTAATAATTGTTTGTGTCACACATTGTATGGCTTTTAATTATGGGGTTCCCGCCTCCCTATTACATGATCTCCTTTGTGCATAGACAATTTCAGTAAATGGAAATATTCCTATTTTTCCGTCCCATAAAACTTGACCCGAATCAGAAATATGTGGCCTAACCACAACATCCAAAAACATAACCTTGCCAATAAAGTTTTTGTTCTGACAGCTTCTATAGGGTTCTTCCTCCCGAGAAAATAGATAAAACCTTTGAGTTTTTTGTGGCATGTAAAACCACTTTTCATCTATATGAACCATGTTGTACATACCTAAAAATTTAGGTATTGTGTTCACTGTCATTGGAATTACTTGACCCATAATGTGAATAAGCCTCCTCCTCATGTGCATGTGATTAAGTTTGGGCTTAATACTGTTTGTGTGGGCTCTAAGTTACCCTGTTCTGAGTAGCCGATAGACTACCGAGTGGCTAATCCCAAGGGCAGAAGACAAAGATCGAATAGTGGTTCTTTGTTGAATATGCACAACCTTAAGACTTTCCAAATAAAAAACTTTAGGTTTCCTCCCTACCTTTTCCCTTTGACTTTGAACATCCACTAGTGTACCCCCAGCTAATTGAACTTTAGCTGCAGACCAAATCCTCCAAACAGTGGTTCTATGAACTTTAAATTCCGCTGCAACTGTTGACACAACACCTTTGGGTAAGGTTTTACCATCACTCAACATTAAAAGTTTTTCTACCAAGTGCTTCCTTTGATTATTTGTGAGATTTACTTTTTTACTCTGATGTTTGTGATTCAAATCCTACCTCATTGTCCCTTTCAAAAAAGAAGGAAGAGGATACTTCTAGTTCTGGCTCAACATCAAAGTCATCACACATGGCATCCACCTCCAACTGAAGAAGCTCTGAAACTGATATTTCTTCATCCATAGTTATGAAGTAGTGAAATTTGTTTTTTCCTTTGTAGCAGTTTTTGGATTGTGTATGATGGGTTGATGGTATTTGTAGAAGGAAATTAAAAGTTTTGGTGCGTAAACTATGGTAGGAGAGAAGTTTGATTTTTTTGGTTTCATAACGCCCCAGTATGTAGATGTAGACAGCCTGGAGTACTGTAGATAAGCACTACGTTGCTTTTTGTAATGTTAGGTGTATATCTGGACATTAGAACTCTAAAACCTTTTTGTAATGCTTGTACTTTATTATTAATTCAACCCGTCTGATCATAAAGGGCAAATTTGTAAAGCTATCAAGTAAAGATAGATGTCTTAATTATTGTTCCCACTCACTACCTATGTTGCAAATAAAACCGAACAAAGGGTAGTATGAATTTATTTGACTGCGGTTAATTCATAAGGGGTGTTTGGAAAATGACGTTTCAACAAAAAAATGGTGATTGAACCCCTTTTAACGTTTTCAATAAATGAAAACGTTGTTTGATAAATAGCTTTTCGGCCCTAGCGTTTTTGGACGGAACCACTGAAATGGAAACATTGCAAATAAGACAATTTTGGGTTAGCATTTTAAAAAATGGCGTTTTCTACTAATTTTTATGGCGAAACAGCTAAATTACCAATCATCATTTGACAATCCGACAACTTATTCCACTAGTTAAACCCGCTGACTGAATCTGCTATTGATAACCCACTAACATTACCCGTTATCCGCTAATCACTAACCGCTAAATGCCAAACATGCTCATAATAGACATTCTATCAAACTTGAGGTGTTATAAATAAGAGAAAATTGCCTTTGGTGAGATTAAAACATAGCTTTCTCTCGAAAATAGGAGCATGTGTTTGGTTTTCCCTAAATAGGACTAAACATTCTATTTATACCCCTAATTCAATTAATTAATTAATCAATCAACCTAATTAGTTGTCCCCTAGTTCCCTAGCACAACCAAGGCTATTCGTTGGTGCGGTGCAGTCCGTGATGGCAGCAGAAAATGCTGGTGGCGGCGGCGGACGACGGCTGATTTTCTGCTAGCTCGCCAGAATCTCTGTAATTTTTTTCTAGCGATCACGACTAGAGGTCCGACGCCAGGTGGTAGGCGGCAGTCTGGCGGCCTTGGGGGCAACAATGGTAAAGCCTATGAGGATATTTTGGTCCAATCACAATAAAAAGTCATATTTAAGGCTATTTAAACTAATTGTTCCTATTTGGGAAAAAACTATATTTTAGTCCTATTACGATAAATCTCCTTATAAATAAGAGTTTTTTTTTTCATTTTTGATCTCCCGACTATTGTGTCATTTGCAGTTTGGTACTCATCTTTTAATTTTTCCAATTTTAGTCCTCAACTTTTGTGCTATATACATTTTTAGTCCTTAGTACAAGTACATTACACAATGATTTTGACACAATATGTGGAGACTAAAAATGTCATTATTATAATAGTTGAAGGATCAAAGTGTCACTTTTATGAAAGTTCAAAAAATAAATACGTAGTATTAAATTTTTCAAAGACGGGTACCAAAAGCGTATCAAATTAAAACCGACAAAAAGTCGTATAAATAATTCGTAACCTCTATTAAGATTTTCCATATCAAATTATCACCGCCCAGTCTGAGAGCATCTCCAATGCTAAAATATGCACGGTGCACATGTGGCATGAGTGATATCCACATAAATATTAGCAAATAAATTATCTCTCTCCTTATTTGAATGATTTTATACAATTTTGGTAAGTTTTTCCCTGTAATGTCAACTGCAATGTCAACATTTAGATGGTCTCTTTGACATTGTGGAGAAAAACTTACTAAATATGTATAAAATCATTAAAATAAGGAGAGAAAAAATTTATTTATTAATATTTATGTGGCTATCTCTCGTGTCACGTGTGCACCGTGCACATTATACCATTGGAGATGCTCTGAGATGCACGCCCACTAGAGAAAACTTGAGTCTTGCTAAAGGAAAACAAACCTAACCCCCTTCACCTTTTTCTATCTCAAGGAAGAGGGATTTTATAGCCCTAAAATACCAAAAAAGCTAATAGGAAAATAGAAACAAACTACTAGCGTATTAATTAAACAAAACAACAAATAATAATCCTACGCTCAAATTAGGGTTCCAAATCAAACATGCTCTCACATTCCGTCTTAAATCCCCCGATCTGAAACCATGATTGACCTTCTTCCCTTCAACTTTTTCGATGCCAGGTGCGTGGGTTTTAGGATTCTGTTTGTAATTTTGTTGAATTATCTTTTTATGTGCATGGTTTTCGAGAAGTGGATCATTTTCTACTGTTGTTGTTGTTGTGTGTGGTGGTTGTCTTTGGCTGAATCACTGCTTACCTCTGTTAAAATTTGAATTTAAAACTATGCTTTACGGTTACAGTCTTACAGATCCCAATTTATCGATGTTGAATGTGCATGAAGGTATGTGAAAATTTGCATGTGATTTCAGTGATTCTTTTTGGAGCCAATGAGTGCGGAGAAGTTGGGAGGTTTGGTGAATTTGAAGAAAAAGAGGTCATTGGATCTTCTTACATTGTATCAGCCCGAGGTTGATAACAAGAGAAGGAGTAATAGTAAAGGGAAACGTAAAGAAGAGAAAGAGGGAAATGAGGTTAAGAAAAAGAGGAAGAGGGAAGCTTTAAATGTGGTGGCTTCAGCTAGGTTGGATCAGGTAGAGAAAAAAAGTAGTAGAGCAGATGAGGAAGGTGCTAATGGACTTGACATGCAGCAATCAATCCAATCATATGAAGGACCTGTTAGCAGCTGGAATGGGATTTCATATTGCCTGCTGGGTGAGAATGGTGATCCTGTTAGGATTCCCAAACGTCCACGCAACATTTTCTGCCACAAAAATTCTCAAACCCAGCCAGGTTCTCAGTCATTGAGGTTGTTGGGTTCGGTCAATAGTATCAAGAATTCACATGACGAAGCAGAAGTGTCAGATGATTTTTATCTGCCAAAACAGCCAACATCATCGGGCAGTAATGCCAGTGGTGGTGACCGGATGGCTAAGTCAAGTAAAGCTCCTACATGTAGTGTTGTTTCTGACAATCCAAAGCCGAAGGTGGGCATTAATCACCGTAAGGGACGTAAGAATGCTCAGCTGCCAAAGAAGCCAAGCTTATTAGTAAATGAACCCAGTGGTGATGATGTTTTGGCTAAGTTGGGTAAACATGTTGTTGGAGATGCTGTCAATAAGAAGTTAAAGATGAAGATGGGTGTTGTTGAGTCCATTGGGCATAAGAATGCTCACCTGCCAAAGAAGCCAGGCTTATCAGCAAATGAACTCAGTGCTGATGATGATATGTCTAAGTTGGGTAAACATTTTGTGGGGAATACTGTTAATGAGAAGTTAAAGCAGAAGGTGGGTGTTAATGAGTTTAAGGAGCGTAAAAATAGTAAACTACAGAAAAAGTTAAGCTTATCAGGAAATGAAGCCAGTGCTGCTGACCAGATTGTTAAGTTGGGTAAAGTTTCTGCAGGCAATGCCATAAATGGGAAGTATAAGCGGAAGGGCGTTGCAAATGAGTCTAAGGGAAGTACGAATGCCAAGGCTACTTCAGCTCAGCACTCTATGGTGGAAGTTGAAGAGCTTGATAAAAATGCTGATATATCTTCAAGAAAGTGGCGAAAATCTCATAGGAAGAAAAAAGGTTTGCAATCTGGGGGCATTGATTCTGTAAAGCATGTTGAGCCTCCAGAAGATGTTGCAAGTCACTATTCTGATGATCTTCAAGATGATGATGATGAAGAAAACCTTGAGCAAAATGCAGCCAGGATGCTATCTTCTAGATTTGATCCTCGCTGCACAGGTTTTGCTACAAGCTGCAAATCTTCTGCATTATCATATTCAAATCAGCTATCTTCTCTTATCTCCTCTCCCAAAGATCTTACTACTCAAGATGCGAACTCTTTAGCAAGCTCAGAGGCTGCTTCAAAAGATTATAAAGAGAAGAGTGTTCCAAGGAAACGCCGCCATTTCTACGAAGTTCATCTAAAGGACTTGGATGCATATAAGGTTTTGAATAAAAGGGTTCAAGTATTTTCCCCATTAGAGGAGACTTGGTGTTGTGGCATTCTCAAGGCCTATGATCAGGACAAGAGGCTCCATCAAGTCAAGTATGATGGTCAAGATGATGTTTGGATCAATCTTGAAGACCAAAGATTTAAGCTCCTTCTTTTCCCAGGCGAACTTCCTGGGAAGGACAAATCAAGAAGATCTTCTAAGGCAAGTACAATTGTTTGTAAAGATAAATTAGACGTGGATGTTGATGAAGACAGCCACTCAGGGAGCTATTTGGAGTCTGAGCCCATAATCTCATGGTTAGCTCATCGAATCAAATATTCTTCTAGGACATCGAAGAAACAGAAAACATCAGAAGAGTCTTCCATAATTTTGTCATCACAATCTCATGACCAAACTGAGGATACGAAAGACAATATAGGTTTCTCGGATACATATGGGAAGAAATCAGAACATGTTCATGAATTGCAGAACATTGAAACTGATGTGGGAAAGAATGAGGAGTCTTTGATCGAAAGTGATAGCGTGTCACAGAATAAAGTAACAGTTGTTTATGTGCGAAGGCGATTTCGGAAGAAACCAGAGTGTGTTCCTGAATTGATTCTTCTGGGTTCACACAACGATACTTTGTTATGGTCTCTTGATGATGAAGGCATGCTAAGCTTAAGTCTGCCATTTATAGAGTCCAAACAGTTGACTTATGGTATACATCTACCAGCTTTATCTTTTATTCAGCATGGTGCAGAGTACATCCAGTTGTCTCGTATAGTGTCGTTGCTGCAATATGGTGCCATTGTGACAAAATGGCCAGAGGTTACTCTAGAGATGCTTTTTGTTGATAGTTCTGTTGGGCTGAGGTTTCTTTTGTTTGAGTGTTGCCTAAAGGATGCTATGGTTATCACTTTCCTTGTTATGTCATTGTTTAGTAAACCTGATGAACACTTGGATCTTGAAGATACCCAGCTGCCCGTTACTTCTGTATGCTTTAAATTTTCTAGAGTTCAAGATCTTAAGAAGCAGAGATCATTTGTATTCTACAGATTTTCGAAACTAGAAACCTCAAAGTGGCTATATCTGGACTCTAAGCTTCAATATCGCAGTTTAATGGCTAAGTGTCTCTCTTTGTCTGAATGCACATATGATAACATCAAATCCCTTGAATGTCCAAGTAGTCCGTTTTCAACATACAACCGTCCAGAGGTATTTCTCCTTTTGTTACTTCTAGATTTTATATTCCGTATAACTCTGTTTTCTCTGTGTTCAACATGTTACGGTATGCTGCACTTCATATATGATGTAATAAATCAATAGGTTAGTCTAATATTCGATATCTTTTATGTATCTAATGAGGTTAATTTTGGTTTTCTTTATAGAATTTGCAAAATAAGTGTGTGCCGTGTGGTTTGGCCATGGGCATCTCCAAAGAATCCTACCTTGTCAGGATGTGCCATCCAACTTCTACCTCTAATTCAAAACTTGGACATATTCAATTTTCTCTTTCATTTGCTGCTGTACCTGCTCTTTTCTTTAGTCTGCATCTACACCTGCTCATGGAACAAAACTTTGCTGATGTTGGCCTTCAAAACCATAAGCCTTCATGTTGTTCACTTTTCAGCTCTGGTATAACTTGCCAGCATGTGATACATGATGCCAGCCAGGGGAAGAAGTTCCATGGAAATGTTCCCGAAACAACCTTAAAAAGCAATGTGGAATCCTTGCTCCCTTTAGCTACTTCCAATGACATTGAAGGGTTGGAGAAGAATAATTCCACTGACCGCAAAGGGTTGGCCAAGAATGCTTCTAGTTTGGTTCTGTCTCAAATGAAAATCTGTACTAGTGATCAACGATCATACCCAGTTGTTGATTTTCCACATCCTGATCTAGACCATATTAATATCGAAATTCCTTCACCAGATCAAGTTGATCAGCCTTCCGATGGAAGAGGACTCTTTTCTGGCTTTCCCTCAAGCTATTCATTTCATGACAACCAAAATATGTTACTTTCTTCGCCTGTGGGAGAACTTTCGCCGGTGTGGTCGGATGGGAAGATGGGTTTCATGCGCACTGGATTTGCTAGTGGCCCTAAGAAACCAAGAACACAGGTCCATTACACGTTGCCTTCTGGAAGTTATGAGGTTGGATTAAGAAACAGAAACCAAGGACAAAAGACTCTTCCTTACAAACGGATCAGGAGAGCTAGCGAGAAGAAGATTTTATATGGTGGCTGTAGTTCTGAAAGAAATTTTGAGTTGTTTGGATGTGATGCAAATGTGTTGGTCACCGTTGGAGACAAAGGATGGAGAGAAAATGATGCACGTGTGGTTTTAGAAGTTGCAGATCACAATGAATGCCGGCTTGCTGTTAAATTTTCCGGAACCACAAAGTACTCATATAAGGTTCATAACATTTTGCAACCTGGGTCAACTAACCGCTTCACTCATGCTATGATGTGGAAAGGGGGAAAGGATTGGGTTTTGGAGTTTCCTGACAGGAGTCAATGGATTCTGTTCAAGGAGATGTATGAAGAATGCCACAATCGTAATATCCGTGCTGCTTTGGTTAAGAACATCCCAATTCCCGGTGTTCGCTTGATTGAAGAAAGGGAAGATGATGCAACTTCCACCCCATTTACTCGCAATTTTACTAATTACTTTCGTCAGGTTGAGAGTGATATTGAAATGGCGATGAATACTTCACAAATCTTGTATGACATGGATAGTGAGGATGAATGTTGGCTCTCTGCCAACCAAACTTCTTCAAAATCTAGAGGATATGATGAGATATCAGATGAGTTATTTGAAAAAACGATGAACTTGTTAGAAAAGGTGGCTTATACTGAACAGCGTGAGAACTTTACATCAGAGGAGCTAGGGGAGTTTATGGCAGAAGTAGGTTTTATGGAAGTGGTGAAATCTGTTTATGAACATTGGAAGCTTAAAAGACAGAAAAGTGGCATGCCTCTATTGCGTCATTTCCAGGTAAGATGAGGATTATTAATCATCTCTTATATAATTTTCTATTTTACAGAATTGGCCGCCCATGATTGTCATGAGCTACCTCTGTAGTGTGCGAAATGTTGTTTGGATGAATGGATTTTGAATTTAGTCTCTATTCTGTTCTTGAAGTGTTTCGTACACTTGTTAATCTCCACATTTACTCAGTTCTGGATGCTCGTCTAATAGTGGTTACTCTCTCTAAAGTTATTGATGCCTCATGCCTCTTATTAGTTCATGTTAAGGCTTATGCCTAGGGTTTTTTTGAATTGCTTATAATAGTCAAGGGTCCAAGGCCTGTAAATAAAGTCTTACTTAGAAAACTTGTTTTTAGTTCTCTATGCAATATCTGCTTGACAGTTACTCCCCCTTCCAATAAAACAAGGCCGGAATGAGTAAATTACCACTTTTTGTTTATAGTCAAGTCAATCAACACGCAAGGTTCTACAAGTTATGAATGGCCACTTATATCCCATATTTAGACTGTGTGTAATAGTTGACTAAAAATGTTTGCTGCTTGGATTTACAGGAGTTTTACTAATGTTCCTTTACTTTTTAAATATATTTGTTAATCTTCCCCTATCAGCTTAGTATGGGTTTCCTTTTAAAGTCTATGTTATCATTTATCACTGTCATCAGGTAAAGGCTTGCCTAAGCATTGGAATAAAAACTTAAGATATTCAACTAGAATATTTTGCTAGTAAAGCTGCATAGGGCAGTTGTCATTTGTAGCTGTCTTGTTATTACAATCACACTTCTTTCCTTTTTTAAGTGTTCAGCTGAATGATACTCTCGATCTTTTGGTTGATGTTGAACTTTTAGTTGAATTGTCCCACGATATGATGAGTTATATCAAATATTTAGGATCACATTTATGTGTTAATTCTCATATGCGCTCCTAGAAAATGTAGACCTAGTTACATAAGTGCTCTGAGATTCCTGATTATGCTCTAGAATTTGGATGGAACAAGACTTTTGGGGTCTGTTAGAACTCCGAAAATGCTAGGGAAGTAGAGATGATATTTGGAAAATTAGAAGGAAACAAACATAAGGGAAATAAAAGAAAGTTTGTCAAACTCATTATATCAGTTTTAGATATTTTTTCAATCTCATTTTTATTTGATCATTTTTATCATATAAAGTAAGAAAACTAAACAGATGTAAAAAAACATAAAAGTTCAATAAATTTGGTCTCCCTCATATCTTGCATGGTGAATTCAGACAGCAAAAAAACATTTTCCTTAGGACCCATTCAATATCGCTGTCAGTTTTCAGTTCTTTATTTTTAGAGTATTTGATATATGTTTTATAATGAACTAAAAATAGTCTCACTTGTATAGCTCGTTTGGTAATACCCAAATCGGCAGTGTTGATTTTGATGAAATTTATGAAGTTCCGGCTAAAGGAGATGGATTGGCTGATTCTCCTGATTTATGAAAAAATTATATTTAAAATATATTTTTTGTTAATAAATAAAGAAAAAAATATATGAAAAAGGCTAAAATGATCCTCTACAGTAACTTTAGCCAATACAGCCAGAAAAGTAACCCCAACCTTAATTTTTCTTGTTATTACACAACTCAGCGTGCAAAATAAAAAATTACGTGTTTGGTGAAAAAGGTGGCTGATAAGCATGATAAGCTGAAAAACAGGGTCACCAAACAAGCTCGTAGTAATTATGTTAGTTTTGATAACTGCCAAAAAACTGAACCTTCTGTTTTTGAGAATTTTGTATTTAGTTAAAAAAAACTTAAAACCTAAAACAGAAAAGATACCAAAGGGAGCCTTAGTATCTTGTTTTCTTCCCCTACCATTTTCCTAGTTATAAACATAACCTTGCGGCTTAAGATGATTAAATGAGATTAGGATGATTAAATGAGCTTGTTCTACTTCTTCATGTTGTGTGAGTGTGTAGTCACATCATACCTTTGATTTGTTTTTGATAAATTTCAGACTGTGTGTCTTTATATGTGACTTTAGTGTCTATATTTGAACATGAGGTTATTAAAATGGTTGTTAATATTATTGTTAATTAATTAAGATTATTATAATTATAAATGTAAGTAAAATTATAATTATAATTATATTTACAATTGCTATTGCAGATAATTATATTTGCAATTACAATTTGAATTACAATACCAGTTATGGTCCTGTATTTCCTATTTGGGGTGTCCCAAAATGATAGTCATGTTTCTTTTTTGGTAAAGAAATTAAAGTAGATGACCATTTATACCCCCTCCTTTTTAATAAATAGTAAAAGTAAAGAAGTGAACAATACAATAAAGTAAGGTTATACGGGTCCTTCTACCACTCTTTCTTATTATGTGAGCTCAAAAAGTATAGGACAATCAATTTGGGACGGAGGGAGTATTATAATAAGTATTAAAAAAATATTACTATTATGGAATTGTTTTCTAATGAAGTTAGTGCTTTTTCTTAATTTGTGTTTGATCAGCGCCCGTTGTGGGAAAGGTATCAGCGACAAGTGAAAGACTGGGAGCAACATGTTTCCAGGGCTATCGCTGCAAATCATGTGAAAGCACCTCCGATTGAGAAACCACCCATGTTTGCCTTTTGTTTGAAGCCTCGAGGTTTGGAAACCCCTAACCGAGGTTCAAAACAACGTTCTCAGAAGAGAATTTCAGTGCCTGGGCACAACCATAGTGCCCTGAGGGATCAAGATGGTTTCCATGCCTTTGGTATATTTTTTGTTCCTATTACTTATATCTCTCTTCATGGCTCCCATCAGACATTCAGGCATATATCCATCTTTTGTTTGCTCTGTCCCTCTTTGTTATCTGATTTTCCTGCCATCATAATACCTTAAGGGCTTGTATGGTTGAACAATTTTAAGTGTTTTTGAGGGGAAGGCTGTGGAGGGCCTAATCTATACCTTGATATATAAGAATGTTCATAAAAATGAATAAAAGGTTATTCAATTGTTATAAGATCACATTTTATGTCAATCTTTAAACTTTAATAGTATTCTAGTATTTATCACAGCATGGACTAAGCTCTCCTACCTTACCCTTCCTCCACCCCCCTTTAAAACCCTCCCATCCTAACAAGCCTAAGTTACCATTTGGAATCCAGGCAGTACTTTACAAAGAAAGGATGGAAGGAAATAGAGGAAAATGCGAAGGCAATAAATTTTGAATGAGAATAAATGATAGACCCAAACTCAACAAACTAATACTCCGTACTATGTATTCAATATTCATTAAAAAATGTTTTGCTTATTTATGTCTACTACATAAGACTAAAGTAAATCTAAATGTATGTTAAAAGAACAATAATCATATTTCATCTTGTGTTTTTTCTTCTCAGGGTAAAATTCAAACATAATAAAATCAGTTTCCTTGGCTCTTGTCTATTTTCCTTGACCCAATTATAGTCTAAATCTTCCCATTTTTGTGGTCAGGGAAGAGAATGAATGGATATGCATTTGGAGATGAAATGGATGTGTATACAGGCAACAACCATGAACAACCCTTGGAAGCTTCTTCACCTTGTGATGCTTCAAGAAGGGCCTTTTCTCCATGCGATGCCAGTGGATATATCTCTTTGAGCAATGACGGCTTTGAGTGGAACCCCCACCCAAAGTTTCAGAGAAACAAATCAAAGAGGATTGGGACGTTTGTGCCAGCTGGCAACCCGCATCTGGTTTCTTCTCATGACAGGAGAACCACAAAGAGAAACGGTTTTCATCCACCCGAATGGCCCAGCCCGAAGCTCTATCAACAGTTTGATACCCCAAACGTTCCGGAGTTGAGGCTTCGTGACGCGTCCTGTGCAGCCAAACACGCATGCCATGTGGCAAAACAGAAGCGGGAAAAGGCACATAGGCTGCTTTATGTGGCTGACGTGGCAATCCAGAAAGCTGTGGTAGCTCTCATGAAAGTTGATGCAATGGAAGCTTTTGCCAATGATTAGATTTATTTCCAATGTCAATAATATGTGATTCTTTGGGGGTTTTAGTTCCTGGGCCCTCATGCCACATTTGGCGGCTATACACAGGTTTTCACTCAAATGGGTTTTCATCTGATTCCATCATTGTTCATAAAATATAGTGTAGATTCCTGACATGATGGGCGGAGCGGAGCAGTCATTATCATCGTTATCAAGAGAGTTTTTTATTCATTAACCTTCGGTCCCTTTTTGCACAGTACTTTTTCACCAGGAACACTTAATTTCTGGTTTGTTGCACGACTGGTTTGACTGCTGACCGGGTGGACCCAGTTTTGCTTTTGTAGCTTGCTTGTACATAATGGTGTTGCATTGTGTGTGTGTGTATGTGGCATCTTTAGCTCATGGGTGTTAAAAAAAATATCCTCAAAACTGTGCATGGTGAATTGATTTTAGACGGGGCGTTGAAGTGGGGTTTCCTCTTTTTTTGCGTGTAATTCATTGGAGCACGTTTAGTATTGAAGAAACAAAAATATTTGATGCAAGTAAATTTCTGGTAAAATGTTCATCATAGTCAGTGTGTATGTATTTGGTTTGAAAGGCTGCCTCAGTTCATTTAAAAAGCAAGTGTCTTTTCTACTTGTCCAATAACCAATTACAACGGGTGGACCGGTCTAGTTCCAGTTTACAGTGCCCTTGCTGTAGGATTGGTATTGGTCCCAAGTATATTAGTCCCTGACCCTTGGTCTACTCAGCCGTTGGTTACAATCCACACGATCGGTCCATGACTGAGGCATATGAGTATAACTTTTTATATAAAGATTGAGACATATATTACATGTGCAAGTTCACTTACTTTACACCCCTTAAAAGTTTTTTATATTTAAATTATTTTCCCAAAATATATTTTAATCTCGTGACGCTGAATTTTTTTAGCACTTCTTTCCTCAAGAATTTGTGCAATGATATTTTATTCTCCTTGTAGAGTTCAATGAGTGCTTGCTTATTAGACGAAGATTTTGGAGGGGATTGTGCGGAAAATCACATTAACTTTTAATATCTTGGACTTTAAATGTTCGTAGCTATGTGAAAAGCAAACATTTTCAAGTTTGTTGGGCTGCTTTTTGCTTCGTGTTGTCATTGTTAATAGTGGAAATTGCCCGTCCAGACCATTTTTCTATCTAGAATTTCATTTATGTCAACATACAATTTTTTTATTCATTCTCTAACTTTCACCTTTTCATTTTTGTCTTTTGAGGTTTTTTTCCCACAAATAATCTAACCCAAATCACTTGAGTCATACAACTAATCAAAACCCCATTCGACTGTCATCAGAATTTGGTATCTTCACTCCTGTTTGTTCTCCGTCGTCTTCACGCTGGCTGGTCGTTCGAATCGTGAAGCATCTTCAGGGTCGTCCGCCTGACGCATGACCATCGTAATCTTCTCCTTCCTCTCCTCAAAGGTTACCAAGTGTAAACCTTTGCTGATCTCTTCTATGAGAGACAATATTGAAGTCTTTTACAGGGAAATATATCAATAGCTATGAATCACGTTCATGAACTTGCTAATACATGTGCCGATCAATGGTCCCTGGTAAACATCTCATTCTAATTCAGTGCTCTCTAAATCGTGCGAGACGGGTTTCCATCAAAGAGACCTCACAAACTTGATCTTCCACAGTAATTGTATGTCCGAACAGGCCTAGAAAAAGGTAATGCCTCACTTTCCTTTGCCACTCAAGTGTACGGCATTTGCCATGCTTAGGCCACTTCTTTCCTTATCTAATGAAAGAGTCCACAACCTGCCTTAGAATGCCCTCTTCTCTTTCTTGTATCAAGCATGGAGCTAGGATTTTTACAGGATTTCCGCAATTGTTCTAAGTTTTATTTTTGTAGTTTATTTTTATTTTTCTATTCAGTTGAAATTTAACATTGAAATGTTCACATAGTCTTGTTTAAAATTTGTTGGAAACCACAATTGATTTCTAGATCATGTCTCATGAGTTTAGTACTTCCTTACCTCCTCAAAGTGTTAAACAATAGATGTAATGTTTATATGTGAACAGAGAGGGTATTCTATACTTAATGATGAGTTTGATATTTTTTTTGTTATAACTTCGATTATTTAGATTCTTATTAGTTTGTAAAGCAAGCAAGCTAGAAATCCCGATGACTTGTTGAATTCAACGCTTAGGATTATTGGTAGTCCTGCTATTTTGAGAATGATTCATGTAAGGTAGAACTGATATTATATAAATTGTATACTGAAGTGTTATGTAATTGCTACATTTCTGTAGTTCATATTTTTGTAAGCTAAGGGATTTTTAATGAGTTTGTTTGCAACTAGTATTTGGTTTTTCTTTCTCTTTTTCCTAACTGTTCATTATTTGTCTGTGATGTGTCTATCACTTTTTTCTTTACTAACTGCCCTTGTACCTAACTTGATCTCAATCAATATTTTTAAAAATAAACATAGTATCACTAGTAGATATATGGTGTTTGAGTTGATTATGTTTGTGTGATCAAGCCATTGCTTTTTTAAACATAGGCTAAGACCTTATTAGTGGTTGCAACATTAATTTTTTTTAAATCTAAGATACTCTCGTTCCTTCACTATTTGATGGTTGTTTTGCAAATCCGGGTCAACTTGAAACAGCTGAAATGATATTATTCTGGATCTCCAATGAGAAATTAGGGGTTTGACTCTTAGATTTCGTGTTATTCTCAAAATGGCCATCACGAAATTTATGTGTGTGTTTTACCTCAAATTACGCAGCAGGGTTAATCCCAAATACAATTTTAGTTTCTAGTTCACTAATTACAATTTCATCTATTGTAGGGTTTCTTAGAGGAAAAGCTCTCCATGACTACCTGTTCTAGATTTGACATCCTATTTGTTACGAGGGGAGTTCTTATGTTTGGTTTTGTGGGCTTGAAAATGAAACCCTTGCAGATCAGAATTGTTCAATGATGTAAAAGTGGCACCGCCAGTTAATTCTTCTCGCTACTTAACCTTATCAAATGGATTTTAATTTCCCCTTCAGCAATTCACTTTGTTATTCCTTTATGTGTTGTTGATAATTTATCCATACTTGTCATATGAGATGTGACGTTTTAACTTAGGAAAGTGCTATCTTGCAGCATATTTAAGTGCGTAGTTTACTCAGTCTTGCTCATATTCATTTGTTACAAATTATTAGTATCCTACAATTGCTTATTTTGATGTCATATTTGTGTCATATTGTTTGCATTTTTATTGCAAGCACATACAAGGAAAAGAAGCACATCAAAATTAGAGTGGTTGAAGAAAATAAGACAAGAAAGTCAAATTGTATGAACCATGTGTTGACATGCATAAAAAGAAGAAACGATAAAAAACAAAGCTTAATAATACAATGAAACATGTAATAAATTGAATTATATATTTATTGTGAAAGTTATACTATCGTATATGTTAAATTTGTTGCTTCACTACAAGAAAAGTGCCTATTAGCGAAAGGAAAAATAGTCTCAAAAACTAAGTAAATAATCACATGTGGTCACATGTTGGTCTCTGGTGGCCTCGTAGCAAAAAGTCATTTGCGACTGCAAAAAAAGACTGGTGGCTAAAGCTTTTTAAGACCAGCTAGATCTGTTGTATTTCACCACACTATTATGATGAATATAATACAATATAACTTTCTTATTATATAAAGAAATTCAAAAACACGTAATGTCATTCGAAACTTCATTCAGTACTCCGTATAATTTATACTCCATACAAATTAATCACCTTCAGGTGAAAAAAGAAGGGAAAAAGACATAGGTAGGACTAAAACATACGGGCGGAAACTAAATAAGACTCGGACTTTATTAACTCGTATATAGGACTTAATTTACGCTGATGGGCAAATACACCCCGGAACAAAAATTGGCTACCGAACAACTCCAGAGAACATCAAGCCCTCAACCCCGGCGTGTATTGATTCCTACCTATGATTTCGATTTTCAAGAATAGATTGTCGTCGGCGGTGCTATTGAAACCTACTTTTTCATCTTTCGCGATTGGAAGCTCCGACCCGAAGTTGCCAGCTGCACCATCTCCTTGACCCACGGCACTCCCGCCGTGTTTTTAGTCGCATCCGCCATCCTCTCCATCCCTAATCGGAGCTTCCACTCCCGGAACACACCTTTCCGATCCAAAACACCCTATTTCCCATACATCCGCAGAAGTGTAGATCTGCTATTCGTCTTTTTTTGTGGGCTGTTTTTTTATGTCTTCCGTAGTTTTGTCACTTTTTGTTGTTATTGTTTTACTTTTCATTTTTTTTTGTTTTATTTTATTTTGCAGATTCATTTAATGGTTATAAGTTTATGGGTTCATTATTTATTTTGGAAAATATGTTTGTAGTTGATAATAGATTAATATATACCGAGTATTAATAATGTCTTCCCCCAAATTTAGTATGAAATAATGGAATTATTATGGGAATCGGTTGCTTTAAGGGAACCGATTGAAACCTATTAAAAATTTTTTACATTTCATTATCATAATATTTCCTATAAAATAAAGTTCTTACGAGCCTTAGTCATATCATATATTATTGAAAAAGAATCACTCTTAAAAATACATGTAGTATAATAATGTCATAATTTGAAAATAATGACAATGTACGTCACAATGTCATCAACACAAATAAATGAAATAATATCATTTTTGATAATATTACAAAGTCAATATTGCAGTGTTAGAATGTAATTAGAAAATATTATAATTGCATACTACAATGTCACATGACAATGACACGATATCTTAATGTCATCAATGAAAAATTTTGAAAATATATCACAATGTTAATATCAAAATGTCATATGATAGTATCATAATATAATTACTCAAAAATGTCACAATATCATAATTACAATGTCACAATATCACATCACAATGTCACCATCGTAAATGTCACAATGTCGAATAAAGACAGTGACAATATGAGTGCCAATGCAATAAATTATGATATTGTAATAATGACAATGCCAATGTTGATGTTAATGACTGTCATGACATTATCATTGCTACAATGTTAAAAATGCTCTGCTGTGTCAATTAATGGTAAAAGCAATGTTAATGCGATAAAAAATTAGCACTTTAATAATGTTAATGTCAATGCTATAAAAAGTACTCCGTAATATGATATTATACTACGTAATAAAAACATAAAAATGGCAATGCTACAAAAAAGTACATTGCTTTTGCAGAAAAACACATTGTTAACATTGTATTATACTGATGTGAAATAACGATAATGACAATGTCAACACCAACACTCTAAAATAATGACATTGTAAAACTGATAATGTCAATGGTTTAAAAATTGACATTGTAATAATGACAATGTCAATTTGAATGCTACAAAAATGACATTGTGAGATAGTCAAGAAGTGACATTGTTTTCGACGATGACATTGAGATAAATGTTTACAAATGTCATTTAGTGTCGTCATTGAAAAAATTTACAATGTCATTTAGTGTCATTGGAATTGTTTAAAAATCAATGCCATACAATAAAGCAACAATAAATGTTATTTTTTAAAATAATGATAATGTTTTCATAATTATTACA